AAAAAGAATGAGATCTTGCCATTTGCAACGACATGGTTGGAACTGGAGGGTATTATGCTGAGCGAAATAAGTCAATCAGAGAAAGACATGTATCATATGACCTCACTGATATGAGGAATTCTTAATCTCAGGAAACAAATTGAGGGCTGCTGGAGTGGTGGGGGGTGGGAGGGATGGGGTGGCTGGGTGATAGACATTGGGGAAGGTATGTGCTATGGTGAGTGCTGTGAAGTGTGCAAGACTGTTGAATCACAGATCTGTACCTCTGAAGCAAATAATACATTATATGTTTAAAAAAAAAGAAGAAGAAGAAGATAGCAGGAGGGGAAGAATGAATGGGGGGGAAATCGGAGGGAGAGATGAACCATGAGAAACTATGGACTCTGAAAAACAAACTGAGGGTTCTAGAGGGGAGGGGGGTGGGAGGATGGGTTAGCCTGGTGATGGGTATTAAAGAGGGCACGTTCTGCATGGAGCACTGGGTGTTATATGCAAACAATGAATCATGGAACACTACATCAAAAACTAATGATGTAATATATGGTGATTAACATAACGTAATAAAAAAAAAAATACCACCAGCTTTTTCTACAGAGCTAGAACAGTCCTAAAATTTGTATGGAACCACAAAAGACCCTGAACAGCCAAAACAATCTTGAAAAAGAAAAGCAGAGCTGGAGGCATCACTTCAAGTTATATTACATAGCTGTGTAGTGATCAAGACAGTAGAGTACTGGCACAAAAACATACACATAGATCAGTGGAACAGAATAAAAATCCCAGAAATGAACCCAGGCTATATGGTTAACTAATCTTTGACGAAGCAGGAAAGAATATCCAATGGAAAAAAGACAGTCTCTTCAACAAATGGTGGTGGGAAAACTGGACAGCTACATGCAAAAGAATGAAACTAAAGTACTTTCTTATACCATACACAAAAATAAATTCAAAATGGATGAAAGACCTGAATATGAGACAGGAAACCATCAAAATCCTAGAGGAGAACATAGGCAATAACCTCTTTGAATCGGCCATACAAACTTCTTACTAGATACATCTGCTGAGGCAAGGGAAACAAAAGCAAAAATAAACTGTTAGGACTTCATCAAAAACTCCTGCACAGCAAAGGAAACAATCAACAAAACTACAAGGCATCCTTCAGAATGGGAGAAGATAAGTTGCCAGTGATGTATCTGACAAAGGGTTAGTATCCAGAATCTATAAAGAACTTACAAAATTCAACACCCAAAAACAAATAATCTAGTTTAAAATGGGCAGAAGATACGAATAGACATTTTTCCAAAGGAGACATACAGATAGTTAACAGACATATGAAAAGATGCTCAACATCACTCATCATCAGGGAAATACAAATCAAAACTACAATGAGATATCACCTCACGCCTGTAAGAATGGCTGTAGTTAACACAGGAAACAACAGATGTTGATGAGGATGCAGAAAAAGGGGAACCCTTTTGCAAAGCTGGCGGGAATGCAAACTGGTACAAACACCCTGGAAAACAGTATGGAGGTTCTTCAAAAAGTTAAAAATAGAACTACCCTACAATCTAGCAATTGCACTACTAGGTATTTACCCAAAGGATACAAAAATACTGATTTGAAGGGGCACATGCTCCCCGATGTTTATAGCAACACTATCAGCAATAGCCAAATAATGGAAAGAGCCTAAATGTCCATCGACTGATGAATGGGTAAAGAAGATGTGGTATATATTACACACACACAATGGAATACTACTTAGCCATAAAAAAGAATGAAATCTTGCCATTTGCAAAGATACAGATGGAGCTAGAGGGTATTATGCTATGCAGAATAAGTCAGAGAAAGACAAATACCGTATGATTTCACTCATGTGGAATTTAAGAAACAAACAGATGAAATAGGGGAAAATCTAAAAAAAAAGAGAGAAGCAAGCCAGAAAACAGACTCTTAAGTATAGAGAACAAACTGAAGGTTGCTGGAGGCAAGGTGGGCAGGGGATGGGGTAAATGGTTGATGGGGATTAAGGAGGGCACTTGTGATGAGCACTGGGTGTTGTATCTAAGTGATGAATCACTAAATTCTACACCTGAAACTAATATTACATTATGTTAACTAACTAGAATTTAAATAAAAACTTAAAGAAATACAGCGTAGTACTGTAAATGTATTTTCCTTATGATTTGGTTAATACCATTTTCTTTTCTCTAACGGGATTGTAAGAATACAGTATATAATAGCTATAACATACAAAATATGTATTAATTGATTCTCTTTTTTGCTATTCATAAGGCTTCTGGTCAACAGTAGGCTATTAATAGTTAAGTTTTGGGGGAGTCAGAAGTTACATGTGGATTTTCAGCTGCATAGGGGTCAGCATTCCTAAGCCCTGAGTTGTTCAAAGGTCAACCGTATTGTGAAAGGATCACCGTAATAACTCTAGGTAACATCCAGGGAATAATCTTTGACAAATGGTGCTGAAACAACTGAATGTCTTATATTTAAAAACAAAAACAAAAACAAAAAAACCCTTGGGGCGCCTGGGTGGCTCAGTCAGCTAAGCGCCTGCCTTCAGCTCAGGTCATGATCTCAGGGTCTTAGGATCGAGACGCATGTGGGGGGCCTCCCCACTCAGTGTGGAGTCTGCTTCTCTCTCTTCCTCTCCCTCTGCCCCTAGTCCCACTCATGCTCTCTCTCTCAAGTAAATAAAATCTTAAAAAAAAAACAACAAACCCTTGATTCTGACGTTACACTCTGTACAAAAATTAACTCTAAATAAATCGCAGATGTAAAGGTAAAAACTAAACTTCTCTGGAAACCTTGGGTTTGCAACCTTAAGGTAAACATTAGGTAATTAGGTAAACATTCAATGGATTGGACACAAAAAGCATGAACCATGAAAGAAAAAAAATTGATACTGGACTTCATCAAAACTTAAGACTTTCACTTTTTGAAAGAGACCACTAAGAAAATGAAAAGGCAAGCCACAGAGTAAGAGAAATTATTTGCAGCACACATATCTGACAAAGGATTGTATCTAGGATTTTTATCACACAATAAAGTTGAAAACTCATGTATTCATATATACACAGACATAATATATACATCTGTATGAATATTCATACACGTAACACACATATATATGAATGAATGGATACATATAGCAAGGGATTTGAACAGACTTGTCCCAAGAGATGATGTGCAAATAATCAATAAGGATGTGAAATGATGCTCAAAATGGCTATATTGGAGAAATGCACAGTGTTCTATCACTACATACCTACTGGAATAGCTAAAATAAAAGAGACTGACAACACCAAGTGTGGGTGAGGAGTCGACGCGCTGGTACTCTCATACACTGCTGCTGGGAGTATAAAATGGCATAACCACTTTGGAAAATAGTTTGGTCATTTCTTATGCAGTTAGACATACACTTACCATACAACCCAGCAATTAATTCCACTCTTAGGTATTTATTTACTGCAGGGAAATGAAACCATGTGTCTACAAAAAGTCTTACACATGAATGTTCATAGCAATTTTATAATAGCCAAATACTGGAAATAACCTAAATGCCTGGCAATTAGGGTGGATAAAGAAATTGTGGTATATTTATACAATGGAATAGTACTCATCTGTGAAAAGGAATGAACTGTTAATGCACACAAGAATTTAGAATACTCTCAAACCATTTCACTGAGTAAGAGCAGCCATACACAAAAGTGAACATATTATACAGTTCCATTCATGTAAAATTCAAGAATAAGCAGCTAGTCAGAGAAATTAGATAACTGGTTGCCCTGGACCAAGGGTGAGGGTGGGGAATTGACTTCTGAGGGGGAACTTTATTTTATTGTATATAAATTATACCTCAATAAAGTTGATTTTTAAAAAGATAATAAATACTATCAGCAACTACTTGCCAACAGTTTGGAAAACTTACATAAACTGGAAATTTTTTAAAAAATAATTTAATAGAACTGACTCAAGAAGAAGTAAAAATCTTAAAAGTTTGACTAATACTAAAACTATTAAGTAAATTGAAGCAATGGTTAAAAATCTTCCTACAAAAAAATTCAGAGCCAGATAGTTTTGTAGGCATGTTTTACCAAGCTTTCAAGCAACAGGTCATCCCAGTTTATACAAATTCTTCTAGGCAGTGAGACAAGAGGAAGTACTCTCCAGCTCATTCTGAGAGGTCAGCATAACCTTAATAAATCCAGACAAAGACATTACAAAAAAGGAAATCATGAGTTTATTTCACTCATGAATACAGCTGTAGAAGTTCTAAACTCATTAGTAAACCAGCTTAACTGTGTCTATAAAAGACAATACTTCACCTCCAAGTTTGGCTGTTTCTAGGCATGTAAGGGTGATATAATTTGAGGAAATCTGTAGAAGTAATTCACTACAGTAATAGATTAAAAGATTTTAAAAATGTAGTTACTTGAATAAATTCAATAAATGCATTTGATAAGTGTATGTGATTTTTCCAGTTAAATTTTTTTTTCATTTTGATTAAGGGAATATTGTTAGCAAGATTGAGAAAGTTATATAATAAGAAACTGAGAACTTTGCTACTTTGATAAGTTATCCAGAGACACTAATGGAGAATCTGTTACTGTAGGTGGGAGGTCATAGAACAATGGCACTGGATCATTCTTGGTGAGGCCATTCACCAGATGTGTGTGATCAAGGATAAGTTACTTATCCCCTTTGTGTCTGTTTTCTCCATAAGATGGGCATGATAACACCTCCCACGAACAAGGCTTAAAGAATTAACGTATGTGAAGCACTTACCACTGCACTGACACTTGCTTTTCAAATTATATCTTTTATATTATATATTAGTGTTAACAATACATATATTCTATATATTGTTTTCTTTAAGGCCATCTGACTCTTAGCCAAAGGCTAAGTTAATGACTGTAGCCTTTGATAAAAGTGCTTTCCCTTTCAGATTACAAATTGACACCTTTTTGTCTATGTGTGTCTCAAAGGTGAGTGATTTCACGTGGAGCCATGATGGGACTCAAGCACTTATTTCATACCGAGATGGGTTTGTCCTGGTTGGTTCTGTCAGCGGACAAAGACACTGGTCATCTGAGATCAACTTGGAAAGTCAGATCACATGTGGCATATGGACTCCTGATGACCAACAGGTAAAGCCTCTTAAATATGGGTGTGTAATGTTAAAACCATGTGAGGTGAGGAGGAAGTGAATTGCATACAGTCACACACGGAAGGGGGAGGGGAGGGGAAGCTGGCTCAGAAGCCTCTTGAATCCAAAAGTGAAGAACAATGAATATGTCCAGGTGAAAATTAAAAACTTTTAAGTGAACCATAGAGTGGAGAAATAATATTTTCCCATCAATATGGTAAACATTGAGTTAACATTTTAACTATAGAAAATATTCTTACAAATACACTTTTAAATCTATATAAATAGTTGGTAAATGGATAATGGACATAATGATTCACCAAGGAAGTTCAACTAGTCAGTATTCATATGGCGGAAAAGTATGCATTTTTAGGAGAAAAATGCAAAATAACAGTGAGGATATAGTTTCACTTATTAGCAAAAAATAATAAAGTGATACAGATGATATACTGGTTAATGGTAAGAGTTCAATCCAAAGATTCTTATTCATTGCTGGTAATGTGTGCTAGACGTTTGGAGAAGCAATTTGGGCAGAATATGTCAAAAGTCTTAAAAAATTGTTGTCCACTTTGACCAGGTAATATACTTCAGGAATTTATCTAAAAGAAATAAAAGGGAAGAAAATAAAAGTTATAATCATTAAAGCATTATTTATGATAGTAAAAATTCAGCAACAGCCTACTTGTCTAAAAATAGAATGGTTAAGTGAACTAATATTGTTACCACTGAGAGGATTATATAATAAGTAGTTCAGAAAATTGTGGGTTCTGGTTATGAAGACAGTCTGAAAGAGCTCTTAGGATATAATGTTAAGGGGAAAAAAATCAGGATATGAAATGGTGTAGGTGGTATGATTACCATGTCATAAAACAACCAAAGGAAATCCATCCACATGGTAGAAAGACCTGGAAGGAGACAAAATGCCACAGTTAGGTTGTTTTACAGTGAGGAGCTTTTGGGTCATTTTCTAAAACCCAATTTTAAAATTTTCTTTAATTATCTGTTTTACTTTCATGAGAAAATAATATATAACCTAATAAAGTTATATATTGATAATTCATTTTTTAAATAAAAAGATTGGCCAGGTAAAACCTTTGTAAAGATGAAACTTGTGTTTTCCAAGCACAACAAAATCCAGAAAATGCCAGGACATTTCATAGCAGAGATTTTAGTTTAATATTGGTAAAAGCAAGCAGTATAATAAGGCATCATAACTTTCATTTTTGAATCTTTTTTCTTTTCATTCTTTTTTTTTTTTTAACTGAATTGCTTTCCACTAATCACTAAACGTTCCATGTTTCCATTTTTTTCTTTTCAAGTAAAAGTGGTCAATATTCTTTCTCTTTCTTCTCAACATTGCTATTACGAGAGCTACAAAGCAACAGTTGCAACTCCAAGTTTCTTCCATGGCTCTGAGGCTCCTAAGTATCCAGTAGCATATGAGTGTAACTCTTAGAAACCCTTGCATTTACTGTGACGTGTGTTTGCAGGTGTTTACTGCCCCTAGAGTCTGTTCTGAGAAGTTGGTGCAGCCCCTTCAGTGGCCTTGCCCAGACACCTCTCCCTGCATATTTCCTCCTGTGTGATGGGGGGTGTGAATTATTTCCCACCTGTTTCCCTGGGGCTTTTGTAATGATCAGATGAGCGAACAGATGTGAAAGCACTTAGAAATGTGGAAGTGGAAGTCTTGGCTTCACATTCTTCCCTTGCCTCAAGGGATGGAACGTGGGAGGCTCATGTCCCAATCCCCTGATGAGCTCCACCTGCCCGTGTCCCCAGCAGACAGCATACTTGGAGTGTGACAGGCACAGGACCCAGACACGCCAGGGGCACAGTGGGCAAGACTTGGCGCCTGCCTTTGAGGTGCTGGGGCCCCCAAACATCCCGTGCTGCGTCCCAGCAAAGTGGCTGGGACAGCTGACAGCATGGTGTCGTGGGCCTGACGGAGCGCAGGTGGGCTGCAGCTTTAAAGCCCGGCGGAGTACTTGGACTTGGCTCTGGAGACCTGTCTGCAGCAGCAGAGAGTGGCTTTAGCTGGTGGTTGGTCTCCTGGCCCACAACCTCTCTGAAAAACTGCTTTTACTGGGTCTGTATTTGGGGCTAACAGGTAGGATGTCATTGAAGGAAAGTGCCACACTCACTGCCTTTACGAAAGGTTGCAGACCCCTGAAGCAATGAGGATCCTTAGGGGGTGCTGCCGTCAGGCATATTTGAACCAAGACATGGAAAAACAGTATTCCTTCCTCCTTGTCTGTCAGTCTTTCATAGCTCTTGCTTGGCTTGAAAATTATTGATGAGAAAAGAGTATGAAGACAATTTGAAATGTAATGCCCTGAGCTCTTACCATTGGGAGCTGATGTTTAAAGCCGCGCCTCCTTCATCTCAGGCTGTCTCTTCCCTTGTCCCTGAGAACCTCCTGCACTTAACATAGAGTAAAATGTCCACGATGAAGCCACCTCCGTCCATCTTGAGATACTCCTGATCATACGGGATTTTAGGTTGTTTCCTAACTTTTATAAGCAGTACTATTTTACAAGTGAGTTTGAGAGTCGAGGTATTTTCATACCTAGACTTTCATACCTAGACTTTCCTACTTGTCATATATTTTCTTCAGTTTAGAGTGGTGATTTCTGTACCCTTTTGGGGATGGTAGACTACTTTAAATATCAGATGGATATTGGGAATTGGGAACCCTTTTCCTGGAAAAATGTGCACACGTACATATGTGATTATATCTATCACTTTGCATAGACTGTTGGGAGCTCATAGGCTTCCATGTTCCTCCCCCTTCAGATTCCGGATCTAGACAGTCTAGAGGCGACACTGGGGATCATCTTCCCCAACTTTCTGATGCATATATTCAACCATTATAGAAAAGTTGAAAGAATGTACCTGCCTTAAATTCAGCAGCTAATGTTTCCCTACGTTTGTGCACTCTCTCCTCCTCTCGCACTTCCTGCCTCCCTTTCTCCCTCTTTCTCTTCGTACATGCACACATTTTTGCAGTACTGTTTTTGAAAATAAGTTGTAGACATTGTGCACATCACTGTGAAATATTTCAACATGCTTGTCGTAAGAATAAGATCATTCTCCTGCATTACCACCCCCAAGAAATTAGCAGTGATGTTTTCTGGTATCCAGGCTACTTCATAGCTCCCTAATGGTTACAAAAGTGTGTGTTGTAAGCTTTTCTTTCTTTTTTTTTTGTTATTTGGAACTGGGATCCAAGTTACGTACAGCAATTGTTTGTTACATCTTCAGTCTAGAAAAATTTCCTTTTTTTTTTTTTTTTAAATGACATTACCTTTCTCACAAGTTTAGTGTGGTTACTTTGTAGAATATTCCACAGTCTAGGCTTGTACGATTGTTTACCCATAGTATCATTTAACTTCTGCTAGCCTCTGTATTTTCTATCATCTGGAAGTTAGGTTGAGATTAGGTTTGGATTAAACAGGTTGGGTAAGGATAATTAATAGGTGATACCCTATCATTCACACTGAGCCACATTAAAAGGCATATCATGTCTTGTTATCCCACTAGGAGGAGAGCTGAGTCTGATGGAACTCTTGTAAAAACAGAACTATTTTTAAAAACTATTGTTCTTAATTTCATCTATACTTACAGTGAATTTTTTCAAGCGATGTGTTTCATGTCAGACTAAAATTTGTCTTCCATTAAATTGCAAGAAGGGAATGTGATTCTACCTGGAGTTTATATAGTAGATAAAGACTGTCTTAGTCTCCTTGGGCTGCCATACAGAATTCTACAGGCTGGAGGGCTTAAACATCAGGCATTTATCTCTCACAGTTCTGGAGGATGGAAGCTCAAGATCAGGCGTTGGCAGGCTTGGTTGCTCTTGAAGCCTCTCTCCTTTTTTTTTTTTTTTTTTAAAGATTTTATTTATTTATTTGACAGAGACACAGCGAGAGAGGGAACACAAGCAGGGGGAGTGGGAGAGGGAGAAGCAGGCTTCCCGCGGAGCAGGGAGCCCGAAGTAGGGCTCGATCCCAGGACCCTGGGACCATGACCTGAGTCGAAGGCAGACACTTAGTGAGCCACCCAGGCGCCCTGAAGCCTCTGTCCTTGGCTGGCAGGTGGCCGCCATCTTCCTGTGTCCTCACAGGGCCGTTCCTCCGGGTGCTCCTCCCCGGTATCTCTTCCTCTTCATAAAAGGACACCAGTCCTGTTGGTTTAGGGCCCTATCCTTACGACCTCATTTAACCTTCATTATCTCTTTATAGGCTCTATCTCCAAATACTGCCACATTAGGGGTTAGGGCTACTGCATAGGAATTTCGAGTGGGATACAGATGTTCAGTCCATAGCCTCATAAAAAATATGACTCTTCAACAAATATTTTGAAGAATAGAAAATTCACAGAAAAGACACTTCTATAAATTTAGCTTGATAAACTTGAGATGTATTTATAAATAGAACAGCCTTTGTAGGGCTTGGAAGAAAAAGCAAATGATATAAATAGAAAATGTCAGAGAAATAAATATAAATATGACTGGGGAAAAAATTTCTTTGGGTCCTAAGTTGATCAAGAGTAATGCAGCAGTGAAGCTTTTGCCATTTCTAGGAAGCACCCAGCATCACAGCACAGTGCATAGGAGGAGAATGCTTAGTCCCCGCTACGTTCTCCAGGGGCCTGGGAGAACACCATGCCTCTTGATACAGGAAAGTGCTTTGAGACATAGACATTTACACACATCCATCTAGCATTCTCTGAGTCTTAGGTGAACATCGGTTCACTTTGAGAGCCTTTGAACCAGAAAAGGTCGAGAACCTGAGGTGCATTTCCATCAGGAGAGTTAAGAGATGCCAACACATGATCCTTGTGTGTAGACATGAGCATGACTCTCCTAGAAGAACAGCAAGTAGCTGGTGGATCTGTGTCCATGGAAGATGGGACAGAAGGAAAAAACCCCAGACTCACATCTGAGGAATTTAGGTTAGAGTTAGAGTTTTCGTCCCATACTGGTTTAGTACGGGACGAAAA